TTATGGCTAGATAACATAATGGTAATGTAAAGGACTGCAAATCCTTTAATGACGGTTCGAATATGTCTCTAGCTTTCTTAAAGGATAGAGTGGGATTCGAACCCACGGTATTTTATATACTTCAGTTTTCAAGACTGACACCTTAAACCGCTCGATCATCTATCCATAAAGTTTTAAAAATTAACGTCCGTTTTGTTTTTAATATTTTAGAGCACACTAAATTAACGCAAATGTTGTCGATTGACGCAACTTTTGAGTCGCATTGCGTATATTCCCAGACCTATACAGCAATATCCGTCCATAATTCTGCGAAGCACATATAACGGATGAAGACATGCATACTAAACGCTTTTGGGCTGTGTTCGAATAGATGCATTTATACAAGATATTCGCATAAACCAGAAGTGGGTGTGGTTTTGGCCCCAACAAGTTTCCTCTTGAATAATTTTACTGAAAAGATAGTCTGTGGGTTGATTTTCAAATGTCGAGGGTGTGGAGGGTTGTCCAAATGTACTATTCCACGTAAATTTATGGAAATGGCTTAGCCTGGCCAATCAATCGCTTAAGCGTAGTGCAAATTATGACGACATGGCATTGTCGCTCCCAGAACACTTGAAAATGGGTGTTGAACGGTATTGGAATGCAAAAGAGGAGCCAGACTTCAGGTTGTTACAGATCCAGATATAGGCCACTCAGATCAAATTGACTATATTATCCTATGTGGTGCTTTGGCAACCAGATCGTCCTTCACGTCAAACTAATACCAATGAGCATGAGGTGTCATCGCACTTAAATGCAGCTGGCTAAAAGCTACAGAAACTTTAAATAAGAATAACGATAAGAGCTCATTACATGAACTTTGTCTTGTCAAGTTTAGGATGTTCTTGCTCGGATTAAATCCGTTTGTTTCGATACAGATCATGACGTTGCGTCGTAGCCACACTTCGCTTTGAGAAAAGCATGATGACTATCTGTTTTGCTGAATTCACCTCCGTAGTTGATTACAAGCCGGCAAGTGTGTGCTTTTACGCCGCTCAAATATGAATAATCTCTGCCTGATAGTGACGTAAACCATCGACGACAGCATAAATATCAGACAAAGTTAGCTACTTTATCAACACCAAGGAAGATAGGCGTATTTCTACTTGGAATATCACTTTCTTGAGCGTCGTTAAATGTATTTAGATCGATGTTCCTTGTCTAACGATGTACTTTGTTTCATCATGGATCTGTGTGTCACACGAGATGTGCATGGTGTGACTGCATTCAAACAAGAATACGGTATGTGGCTAGGTAGCCAGTAGTTATGCATATTTAGATTATATATATTTAGGATAAAATCTAAGCTCTTAAAATGAGAGACATACTCATTGTTTGCCTTGGACTTTGATCACACTGCGAAGTCGTACATTGCTATATCCAGTAAGACTGGAAAGCCAAGCATATTTACGACGCTTAATTGTACGAATGTATAAACCGTCTCAGTGAGATACTACCGCTTTGTAAATCTGACGACGAACGCAATCAAAGCCATACGTTATATCCCGGTATAAAACATTGAGCTAGGTGATTTAACAAAACGTTCATCCTTTATCAAGCCCATTTTGTCAATCAATAGAAGACTACGTCAGCAGCGTTAAACTGCACTTTAGGCTGTCCAAAATTAATTAGGGCACGTTGCCTTATCAGATATTTGGCGCATGTTATACATTGCAAAGCAGTCTTACGTGTGGGGTTGAGCAGCGAGCACTAATTTACATCGATTCATTTTGCTAAGCACATTCGGCATGATATTCCTCCCCATGCACAGAATTTTCAGCTCTTTTTTAGTTTCTAGTATACTTCTGTCACTCTTATATAACGACTTTCAGCTACGTCAAATTTAATATTTCAAGGGAATACAGAAACTTCTGTGATGTCCCTCCGAGCACCTGCTGTTGTTTTAAGAACAACGTTTAGTCGTGATTGGTCAGTTGGCAGTTTGTCTTGAAGGAATTCTTAATTTTTAATTCCCGTGCTGGGATAGTAAATGCCTTTTAATGGGTATATGGTGAGTCGGTGAGATATATGTGCTGGTACAACTTCCCGCAGAGTAAGCTTTGACTCCACAAGTCCAGTTTATCTGACGCATAGAGGATGGGCTTTACACCACAAAGCGGAATCGGGAGTTAAGTAAGTAGCTATTTTTCTGCAACTTAAATAGCAAATACTTATTATATCCGTGTTACTAACACAATAATGTATTCTGAATAGCATGAAAGTAGATACTCACGCGTAATTCCATTTGACCCCCTCCCCTCATTAATACTATTGTCAAACCTAACTTCGATACTTTGCGTCTGGCTTTAAGTCCCGTGACAATAGTAAAAATAGAGTGAGGTGCATGTGCAAGAACATTTATCAAGGAGAACAGATTTTATAGTCTGTAGAACGCCTACGAAATCGGTATTTGCTGATTCGCTTATAATAAACAAGCATTATTTATCACATACCGTTAGATTTTTAGAACTGGATCTCGGTGTCAAGCGATGAGAATTCTTCGCAAACTCGCTTTGTATTGCGAACAGGAAATGTAGATGACGTCACACTGTTCCGTTGTAAGGGCGGTCGCTAAAAAAATTACTTTATAGTCCCTCATCAAGAATGCGTTATTTGGCAAGCGAAGAACCCATGACCATTTTGGTATCTACCAGCATTTAGAAGCTCAGCTTTTAATGCTATGCTTTAATCAGTTTTACTGTTATAGAAACATATAAGGCACCGGTGGATCAAAGTAGTACGATTGGCACTTAAGTACTCTTTCTATTATCGTATACCATCACGTCTGTACAAATTCTCTGGCGGTAGAATTCGTTTTTTCGCACTTGAGCTTTCGGTCATGCAAAACTTAATTCTTGCCTTCACGTGTTGCAGAGCCATTTGTTCAGCACCATATTTCTTTCGACTCAGTGCAATCTTGGAGATACATGATAGTATGATTGCAAATTTTGTTCAAGACGATTTCCCTCGTCGATGGAGATGATTAATCCTTGCTTTATCCCGTAAAAGCAACCTTTTAATGCTGGTAACATTCATTGGGTGATTAATCGATTGGAAAGTGCGCTTTCTAAAACTGGAAACGAAGGTGGCCTAAAGCTCTTTTAACGGCAGCAATGATTCGAGCGCTGCCCGAAGAGGATTGTCATTTAGTAAGCTCATAGATACCGGCAACGATGAACCACTTATGTTGCCTTCCTGACATCTTCGTCGACATCAACAACGTGATGTATATGCATCGTTCGTGATAATGCTCCTGGCTTCGCAGGGTGGTCACACCACAGGGGTGTGATTGCTCGTTTACTTTAGTAACCTATTTCCGGCGTCCTCGATTCGAATCCTATGGTATCGAACCAGGTACCTCCCGGTCCCAGACCAAGCTACAACTCACTTGAGCCAGGGATCCGTCTACGACAGCACAGGAGCAGCAAAGCTATGACGCAGCAAACAGTTGCATGCAAGGCTTTTAAACTTGTTAATTAGTCGTTTACTGAGAAATGAAACAAATGCTTAAGGTAGATTTATATATACTCACTAATTAACTAATTTGTTCTAACAGACTCAACATGATAACGGAACTTCAGAGCCCGGAAATTTCCACCCCGCAATGATGACTTCAGATGATTTACATGCAAATTGATTAATATTTCTAAACCTAAATTAGGCAGCGGTTAAATAACTGTGCAAATTTATCAAATTTACAAATTTACAAATCATAGAAATCTCGTATCATAGTTTGCGTAAGACACACCTAGCTATAATTTATTAGTGATGTAATGTAACCTGGGAAACATAAAAGTCTGGCCAATTTGTGGTATTAAATCTAAATCTTGGTGGGTATGCCAGTGCCGCTCATATGTCGCTCGACGGCGGCTTTTGGAGCCTTTAGGCCTATGTACACTTTGATGCGGTCCACTTGCTACTCAGTCAGTACCAATGCTGCGTTAAATACGGAGATGCTGACTGACACACTGAGTAAATTGCGCGCCAGCGAGCACTTCGATCTGATTGTCATTGGTAGCGGGCCTGCTGGTCAAAAATGCGCCATTGACAGCGCCAAGCACGGTAAGTCTGTCGCTATTATCGATAAACGTGACATGTTGGGCGGTGTTTGCGTACACACTGGCACAATTCCCTCCAAGGTGCGGATATGAAGAAGGACCTCGTGAAAATTGCAACCTAACGACTTTATGCATTTAGACTTTTCGCGAAGCGGCCTTACATCTCACCGGCTACCGACACAAAGCATTTTATAATGGCCAAGGGGGCCCTAGTAAGCGCTTTGGGGTCGAGGATATTCTACAGCGTGTTAAGAAGGTGGAAAGCGCCGAGACGGACATTACACGCCATCAGTTATTGCGTAATGGCGTCCAACTCATTAATGGCACTGCCAGATTCTTACCCGGTAGCAAACATATGATTGCAGTATTGTCCAATGAATCATACGAAACGGCCACTGATGCGCAGCGCCATAGTAGCGCCGACATTTGCAAGCGGTACAACTCGATCTTAAGTCTTCTCTTCATTTGATTCTTTATCAAGCTAAATTTCTGGTTCTTAATCTTGTAGTGTGTTGACGGCTGACAAGTTTTTGTTGTGTGTGGGCACGCGACCAGCGCGTCGCGCCGACATTCCGTTTGATGGGGAAACAATTTTCGATAGTGACCAGCTGCTGTGGGGCAAAGTGAAGTCTGTACCACGTCGCCTGATTGTTGTGGGTGCTGGTGTGATTGGCATGGAGTATGCATCGATGATGACAATCATTCCAGGCACGGACGTGACAGTCATTGACGCACGCAAAGAAATTCTTAACATGGCTGATAATGAGGTGTCGGAGGCCTTGTGTTTCTCCATGGCTCAGACAGGAACTCGTTTTCTTACCGGAGAGGTGATCAAGAGCGTAGAAAAGTCTGCCATGGGGGAGGTTTTTGTGCACTTGGAGAGTGGAAAAACAGTTGTGGGTGATGGATTGTTGTATACGGTTGGACGTCAAGGTAATGTCGAAGGTCTAAACTTAGAGGCTGTGGGTATCGTACCGGACAAACGTGGACAGATTAAGGTTGACAACAATTTCCAGACTGCAGTGCCTCATATGTACGAACTTTCTAGCGAATTTACAATACTTGGACTCATGCTCACGTTACTTGTTGTGTAGTTATGCAGCAGGTGATATAATCGGATTTCCTGGACTCGCATCCACTTCGATGGAGCAAGGACGCTTGGCTTCTGTGCATATGCGCACGTCGCAGCCATTGAACGACCAAAAAATTTCAGATGACAAAAAAATGGACGATCCAGATCGTGTACGCACCCGTATGCGCTCAGGTGAAGTGTTTCCATTCGGCATTTATACTGTGCCCGAAATTTCAATGGTTGGTAAGAATGAGCAGCAGTTGACGAAAGAGGGGGTGCCGTATGAGGTTGGTGTCGCTCGCTACGAAGAGCTGGCCAAGGGTCAGATGCTTGGCGGTGTGCCTGGCTTTCTTAAAATTATTTTTTGCCCTGACACTCTCAAGGTCCTTGGCGTTCATGCTATTGGAGAAGGTGCTACTGAGATTATACACATTGGCCAAGTTCTCATGTCTACTGATGGCACACTCGAGTACTTTCGCAACGCAGTATTCAACTACCCGACGCTTGCTGAAGCCTACCGCGTGGCAGCACTCAATGGTCTTCGGAAGTGCGATCGACTGCGTGAATGACTTGCAGTTTTATGCATTAAAATTGAATAATACACTCAAGTAACAATTAATTACATAAGAAAAGTAGCATTGTAATATCAAAGTGAAAATAGTAAATCCACCGCGCCGGAGATGCTCTCAGCGACATGCTCTTTAAGCCAAAGTTTTTATGGTCTACGACGCTTTTATGATGTACTGTATGCATTATAGGAGTTGAATTTAATTTCCTATTGATATCAGCCCAATCGCACATTGAAGCAAAACGATCAGTTTATCTTACAGAGATTGAGCCTCGCTGGACAAACGCATCGCAATAAGGCTGGAGCTACGACATGAAAAAAAATTGTTGTCGCCACGAGATGAAGACTTGGCGGATAAAAGAGCAGAAGTCGTGGACAACATTTGTTTCTGTGGATGAAAAGCATGACTGGATAAGTTATATCAAGGCGATGGCTTCTCTTCTCTCCAACTGATTACATTTATATCAACAAGTTCCAATAGTAGGTTCGTGAACTACGTGGAGATGGATGT